GTCACTCTCAGATGGGTGAGTCTCACTCTCAGATGGTGAGTGTCACTCTCAGATGGTGAGTGTCACTCTCAGATGGTGAGTCTCACTCTCAGGTGGTGAATCTCACTCTCAGGTGGTGAATCTCACTCTCAGATGGTGAGTCTCACTCTCAGGTGGTGAGTCTCACTCTCAGGTGGTGAATCTCACTCTCAGGTGGTGAATCTCACTCTCAGATGGGTGAGTGTCACTCTCAGGTGGTGAGTCTCACTCTCAGGTGGTGAATCTCACTCTCAGGTGGTGAGTCTCACTCTCAGATGGGTGAGTGTCACTCTCAGGTGGTGAGTCTCACTCTCAGGTGGTGAGTCTCACTCTCAGATGGTGAGTCTCACTCTCAGATGGTGAGTCTCACTCTCAGATGGGTGAGTGTCACTCTCAGGTGGTGAGTCTCACTCTCAGATGGTGAGTCTCACTCTCAGATGGTGAGTGTCACTCTCAGGTGGTGAGTCTCACTCTCAGGTGGTGAGTCTCACTCTCAGGTGGTGAGTCTCATTCAGGCCAGGTCATGGGACTACAGACCCCAGAATGTCTTTTACTTCTGCTGTGCCTTTACGTGTTTGCTGCTGCCATCTTTTTCTGGTACCTGGCACCGTGTGAGTGGATGTGGGGAGACCCCCACTGCCTGTAACTTAGTATGTTTATCTCATGGAAACATTCTGTTCTACTGGGCATTTCTATCTGTAGATCATCAAGAAGATGATTTTTCCCTAAGTTGTACTGTCTCATTGGTAATAATAATGTTATCTTATACAGAGCTTTGGTGAATAAAAACAAACAAGGATATATTTCACAGTCAAGGCCTATGAGTTCACCTAAGGAACTGATTTGGATCACAGCTCAGGTTAAATATTAAGGAAAACAATTGAATGCCCAGGAGCCAGGCTGCCTCTGATTCTCTTAGAACTGAAAAGATGCAGTCAAAGGTTTTGGTGTGCACCATTAGCTGAAACGAAGCTTTAAAGTAACTTCAGATGCCTTGCTAATAGTTTTAAGATAATTAACCCCAGAAAATAATCTAAAGCTCACAAGGACACATACCTGACCTGTCTGATTCATTAGGCTAGGGTAGAAAATACAAAACATCCTGATTGCCACTAGCTGATGGATGATCAACTCCTTACACCCATTCCTGACCTCAATTTTCTGGTATAAGGAACTATTGATGAATGGACATGCACCCTAAAGATTCAAAGTTCAGTTGACTGTTTTTTATGTATAAAGGTTTAGTGTTAAGAGAAGCTTTTTCTTTGCTAGCCGCTTTGGTTTATCACCCGCCAGTTGCCTGGGCTCTGCCGAGTTGTAGTCCCCAAATAACACACAAGACACTGTATTAATTATGAAGCTGTTGGCCTTGCTTGTTTCTTACTGGCTAGCTCTGACTTAAGTAATTTCCCCATAATTGTTCATCTAAGTATTTCTCTTACCGGAGAATAGTTCCTGGCTTCCTACCCCATGGCGGTTACATCTCGAACTCTCTGTGTTTCTCTTACCCAGAGTCCTCCTGGACTCCTAGTCCCTCCTATCTAGATTCCCCATTGGCCAGACAGTACTTTATTGACAAATGCACAGGACTTCCCCAACATCTCCTCTTTTCTGTTTAAACAAAAAGAAAGGTCTTAACTTTAACATAGTCAAATCATATATAACAGAACAGTTATCAAGTAAGAATACAGTTACAATATTTTGTCTATCAACATTTAGCAAGATTTAAAGAAAATATCATCCATCCCATCCTTGTGAGTCTAAAGTTCTCTATGTAGCTTATCTTTTATCATAACTAAGGAAAACTATAATTATAACTATCTGTCTTCAACTCCATCAAAGACCACAGAAGGATAATATATAAACACTAGGATTTACAGAGACATCTTACTGCCTGGACAGTCACCCGAAGTTCCTCTGTAACGTTGGGGCATCCATCTTCAGCCCATAGGCTACAATGTGTCCAGAAGATTTCTCAGCAAAGCAGGAAATTTCAAACTGTCCATCTGCATTGGCAGTCTGTCAGTCATTTCTGTGTCCTGTAGAAAGTCTGGTAGACTCTTCCATGAAGCAGGAATCCTGTAAGACTGAGTTCAGCAGTCACTTTTCTGTGGGTCCTGCATGTCCAGTTTATACAACAACAGTCAGTCTAGGCAAGAGCAGTTTCTTGCCCAAATGGCTAATCTTGCCATGTTGAAAGCAAACTCCATAACGAGTTTCTTCGATGCCCATCTTCCTCTCAGACATAATTGGTGCTGCCAGGAGCAGACATTTCTCATTGTCAAGAAAAACCCTAAACCATTTTAAATGCCATTTTCTGAAGGTCTTTGAGAGGTTTGAAGACTGTTTATCTATCTCAAATATATCTCTGTATATCTAGAAAACCTAACTTACCTAACTATAAGTTTTGACTATTATAAGTAAATATCTATAGTCTGTATTTAATTATGCATTATGTTTTAAAAGATCAGTATAAGCACAATACTTAATCAAGAGGAGAAATATACACATCATAAAATTGACCTTGAATTTGTATCAATAAATGAAAAACAATACCCATACCATAATTCCCTTTTTTACCATTAAAAAAGACTGGCTGTGATCACTAGCCAATTATAAATAACCCCATTTAAATGAGAACAAAGATTTATAAACAAGATGGGAATTAGGACGTTGCTCATTCCAAACTGCTTCGTGCTGGAAGGGGGCGCTGTTCATACCATGGGGATCATGACAAAACTCAGAAACCTGTATAAGTCCTTATTTTCGTGGTCTGTAAAGCTGCATCATCTTAGCTGTTTCTGTTGTTGGAACACCTGGTTCACTGCTTTCGGGGGGGGGGGTCTTGGTTCGTCAAAACTTACTTTCAGTAATTATGTGTCGCTTATTGTTACAGCGTCCCTTGGAGCCTACAGTTTAGGTTTGTGATTACTTTAAAATCCCTTGTAAGATTTTCTCTCAAAATAGTGAATGAAGTGATTGATTCTTTCTTTGTAACCACAATTTCATGATCTATTAATCTGTGCCAAGTTACTTAGATCATAGTGTGTGTGTGTGTGTGTGTGTGTGTGTGTGTGTGTGTGTGTACACATATGTGGAATCCACAAGAGGGCACTGGGTTCCCTGGAGCTGACATAACAGGTGGTTGGGAGCTGCTGGCATAGGGGTTGGGAACTGAACTTGGGTCCTCTGGAGGAGGGAGTGCTTTTACCCACTGAGACATCTCTCCAATTCTAAACATATTGAAAGACTCTTTAGAGCACACAACTTTACTCCAAGCATTTGGAAAGTAGAGAGGCAGATATCTGTGAAGTCAAGGCCTGTCTAGTCTATATATTGAATTCTGGGACATTTAAAAAAAGTTTATGTTTTTATTCTTAATTATGTGTCTGTCTTTGTGTGGGTTTTTTTTTTGATTCTTTAGCTGAGACAGCGAGAAAGACGGTTTATTGTACATGGGTTACATTTGGTCACAAAGTGAGAACAGAGCGAGTCTAGAACTCTGCAGGTCCGGGGCCGAGGGCCAGCGGGACTGTCTGGGTTGTAGGTTGCAAGTCTCGGAGGTGGTGTCTCTGGGAGCAGAAGGTGAGACTCCAGGTCCATGGAGACTTATGCACACTGTCCAACAGCTCGTACCAGCACCCGTCCTGGCCTCCCGCATCCTCACTTGCGCTCCTCGGCTTGGCTGGGTGGACCCCCCGGTTTACTTGGATCTCTGCCAGATCTTTCTTCTCTTGTGCTTCAGCCTCTTCCTCCCCTTCGCTCTAATGGCGCAGGAGTCCCAAGGAAGGTGGCTCTAAGGCGAGAGCTGTGTGGGGTTTTTGTGTGTAAGCTCAAGTACTCTTGGAGGCCAGAAACTGGCATTGGTTCTTCTGAAGCTAATGATGTCAAAATGTGACTTTGTAAGCATAAAGCTGATTACTGTGACGCCGCTGGGAGCATTGCGCGGTCACACTATGAGCAGACCATGAGGCACAGAGATGACCTTGGGACCCTGTGGTGTCACAATGCGGCATTGGGGTGGAAAGAATGCTAAGGACCGATTCTGAGGGTGGGAAAGGCTTCTGCAGCCCTTGGGGCTATGGCTGGCAACACCATCCAGAGGAACCCTCCAAAGAGTCAGAGCACCGGGTTTGAGAACCCAGGTCTCTTCGTGCTCAGCTGAAGGACTCTGCACACCTTCCTCCTTCACACGTGGTTCCTCCTCATCATGTGTTTCCTCTTTGTGCTTGCATTCCTCCTTTGTGTGAGGAGGAGGACCCGCCATACCCAGGCCCAACAGCAGGGAGCTTAGGGTTAGGCACAATGAGGAAGAAGTCACCTCCTCCCTGCCTCTCCTTATTTTCCATCTCCCTCCACTTTCCTCCCTCTGTTGAGAATTAGCTCTTCAGGGGATTGAACTGCTGTGATGTGCTCCAGGGCGGGGCACTCTGAGGCTGTGGGGATCCATCTGCAGGTAAAAGCTCCACAGCTCTTTGTTGTCCTCAGTTCTGGGTTCCTGTCTCCTGCCCTTGCCTATTCCCACTCACTTTCTGCCTCGGGGTGAACCCGCTTTTCTTCTGTTTCCTTTTCTTCTTTTGTTTTTTGTCTGCTCACACACTTTTCTGTCCAATTCCTCAACCCACTTCATGAAGGAAGCTTTTTGCTCCTAGCTCCTGCCTGTGTGAGTGGAACAACCATTTCTGGTTGTTCTTGCTCTTCCATAGGTGTGTTCTTTTGGGTTGGAGTCAACAGCACTTGAAGTTCTCAGCATCCTCCTCAGCATCCTCCTCAGCATCCTCCTCAGCATCCTCCTCAGCATCCTCCTCAGCATTGTCCTCAGCATCCTCCTCAGCATCCACGACAGCATCCTTCACACAACATCCTCCTCTCAGTCTTCCTCAGCACTGTCCTCAGCATCCTCCTCACGATCTTCCTCAGCATTGTCCTCATTATTTTCCTCAGAATAGTCCTCAGCATCCTCAGCATCCTCGACAGCAAGCAGGACTGCTCTAATGGACAAGTCTTTGTCCTTACTACCACAGCTTTGTTTCTGTCTGTCTGTACCTATCTTGCTCCCCTCTTTTCTTTTTCATTCTGGCTTAGGGGAAATGGGAGGTGACAATGGTACAGAATTAGCTGAGTTCATTTTATTGGGATTCTCGGGTTTTGTTTTTGTTCAGGGCCATCTGTTTTGGGGTGTGCTGTGCATGTATGTGGTTACCTTGCTGGGCAACTCTCTGATCATCCTCCTGACACTGGCCGACTCAGCCCTCCACTCCCCCATGTACTTCTTCCTGCGTCACTTCTCCCTGGTGGAGATCCTCTACACCACTACCATCGTGCCCAGGATGTTGGCCGACCTCCATTCTTCCTGCCCCACCATCTCCCGTGCCAGCTGCTTCACTCAGCTCTATTTCTTTGCCCTTTTTGGCATTGCTGAATGCTGTCTGCTCACTGCCATGGCTTATGACCGATATGCTGCCATCTGCTGTCCACTGCATTATACCACCCTGATGAACCAGAGAACATGTGCTGGCATGGTGGGGGCCTCTTATCTTGCAGGTATAGTCACTGGCACCTCTCATTCCATCTTCATCTTCACTTTGCCTTTCCGTGGTGCCAACACCATCCATCACTTCCTATGTGACATCCTGCCTGTGCTGAGCCTGGCTAGTGCAAGCACTTTCTGGGCCGAAGTGGCAGAACTTATCATTACAACAGCTTTTATCTTCGTGCCCTTCTTGTTGATTGTGGCCTCTTATGCCTGTATTCTTGCTGCTATCCTTGGTGTTGCAACATCCCAGGGACGTCAAAAGATCTTTTCCACCTGCTCCTCCCACTTGTTTGTGGTCATACTCTTTTATGGCACTGCGACTGCTGCCTATATGAGGCCTCAGTCAGATTCTTTTGGGGACACCGACCAGATTCTTACCATCTTCTACACAGTAGTCACCCCTATGTGCAACCCTTTTGTTTACACTCTGAGGAATAAGGAGGTCACGGGTGCCATGAGGCGGCTCATGAAGAGATACCTTTGTGGTTCTTGACCTTGCATCACCTTCCTCTCAAGATCTTGGAACTAAGGGCCTGATCCCTGGACACTGTCAAGGAAGAAAGAGAAGCTGAGAGTGGTAGCCTACAGTGTGAAGTCTGTTGTACGTTGTGTGTTTTACCCAGTGTGGACATCCAATACACAGGTGTGTTGTTCAGAGCTCTGCTTCTAGGACCTGGTCTGAAGACCTTGACTGGGCTTCACTGTAAGAGCAGAACTGAATAAACACACACTGGAACAGAGGTCAAGGGGAAGGTCACTGTGACTCCTTTGTGTGATGATGTAGTTCCTGATCATGGCTGAGGCTCCAATGTCTTCCTGGGGTTATGCTCTTGAGACATCCATCTCCCTGCTTGTCTATTGAGTCCTATCTCCCTGACATCATTCATATATACAGGGAAGGGACAGGGACAAGGAGAGACTAGTTTGACTTGCTTGTATTGTTGTAGGCTTGGTCTACATTTCAATTGCTTGTCTCCTGACTGATCTCCATCTCCTTGGACTATCCCAAGATGTTGGTGTTCTCTACTTAACTTCCTCCTGACATGTCTTGAAAGAAATAATTTTCATTCCCTCCTTTGGTCTCAGGTAGAGCACACATCTCAGACTGCCCACCTCCTCAGGTCAGAAGTTTGATGACCTTCCATTCTTGAGATGACACTTGATACTTGTTTCTTGCAACAAAATGCTCACTATTTTCATCTGGTGTCCACTTTGGTTGTTTGCAGGGGTTTGGTACATCTCCCCCTTTTGATTGTTCATGAGTCCTCCTTCAGCTATTAGTCTTAGATGGAGAAGCAGAGTCAGGGAAAGTGTGCCCAAGGCATAAACAAAGGCCTGGAAACAGTGTTGACTTTTGCTCCCAGTTTACAAGAAGTAGCTCTGTTAGTTGTAAGAAATTTGCAAAAAGAAGAAAATATACCTATCAACAAATGCTAACAATGTCTTTGGGAAATTGCTTTTGCCCTGCTTTTGTGCACATGTATATTCATAAAAATTAAAAATAAGTTTATATTGTCTAAATTGTGTTTTAACAGTCTCCACTCTATTGCAGACATTTGAACAGTGTGCCATTACTACTAGAAAATACCTTCAATGTCTCTGTGGTACCATACAGTATGGATATTCTATAATCTTGAGAAATGTCCTGTCATTGCAGTTAACTTTTGTCATGGACATCGAGATAAACTTATGCACATATTATCTGCATATTTCTCTACACTTTTTCTAGTTGTACTCCCACCACTCCTGAACCAGAATTGCTGAGTAAAAATGATTTTGCAATACTTTGCCAAATTATCTCCACAAGAATTTTTATTGTGGTTTATAGCCCAATTGACTGCCTTTCAGTACAAATTCAGTTCAGGAATGTTGTCTAAGGGTCAGGAAGGAGTTGAGGTTAGATTACCCAGGGAAAGGAAGGGTGAAGAAAGTATAGCTAGATATTTAGAAAATGTCTTGAAATGGAAAGAGTAAGATAAATGCTAGTCCTGTTTCCTTAGATGACCAAGGACGGGATGAGACAGGTAGATTAAAAATACACTCAAATGCATCAAAATGTAACCCAGGGAACTACTTCCAGACAGAGTTAGTGTCTGCACAGTAAGAATGCAAGTGTAAGGTGAGGTTTTCAGATGTTGGATGTGGTGAGCCCCTGGACTTCCTGAGGGCTCGCTTTCCTCTCTGTGGTGATGGCCGGTTCCTGTTCCCTTCTTCATAGACACACTTCTGTCTTTTATTTGCCATTCAAGAATCTAAGATGGCCACACAGTGATCCATGCATACCCTTTCTAGACTTTCCAGTTATCTGTTAATCTGAAATAGTTGATATTAAGACTGTGTAATTGCACATGAAACACTTTTTATCTTTCATACAAGAATTTTCAATATTACCATTCTTTGCTGTTGTTTTGAGACAGGGTCCCACTATGTAGCCTTGGCTGGCCTGGAACTTGCTTTGGAGATCATGCTGGCTGTGAACTCACAGGGATTCACCTGCCTCTGCCTCTCAGGTGCTGGGAGTAAGGTGTGCCTTACATGTCTTGACAGTTAGCTACTTCTCAGGCACAATATGTAATGTAACTACTGTCTTCATCTATGCAAGAAGTGTTTGGGAACTATTACATAAATCAGTATTTAAACACTTCTCTAGTGAAGCATATCTTGTTTTCAGTATAATTTTGTAGTAAAAATTACAATGCATTTTTCTATGTGGATCATTTTTCCAAGTTCCCTCCAAAATCGCTTTGTTTTACTAGGATGCACAATCTAAATGTTACCCATGGTGTTAGGGAGACTGGAGGCCCTGCCTTTAGCTGCTTCTCCCATGAAGCATTCCAGGAACACCTCTCTCATCAACCATCAACCCTGAACACATATTCACATCTTTATAATTGCTTAGAAATGTGTTTCTGCTGGTTTGTTTCCTCTTCCTTTCATCCCTCCACACCATCCCGCAGTGAATCCTAAGAGCACAGGGACCTTACCAGTTCCTTTCTGACACTAGAAGTGTAAGCAACCCTATTCCCTGACTCTGTGATGAAGAGAGGTATTATTTGAAGTAGGTTAGAGACATTCCGCTTAATCTTCGATGTCCCGTAGTTGGGCATCGTAGTGTAGTTGGATGCTTGCTGTGTCCACTCTCCCCACCATAGGTCTTGCTATGTGACTCTGTGGCCTAGGATGACCTTGAATTTGTGTTGGTCCTCCTGCCTTAGCTTCCCAAGTGCTATAATTATAGGAAAGAGGTAATAGATCAGCTGGCAGTTTTCTCTCTTACCTGCGGTCTCCTCTACTTGTCCCTATCAATCCACAAATAGCAATGTTATCATGTTGTGAGACACTGATCAATTTTCAGTATTAATTTTATTCCATATCTTAACATTAATTGAGAAAATGACCTCATGAATGTGTCCTGTACTCAAATCTTTGGGTGCTTTTTCTTAATTATTGATTGACGGGGGAGGGCCCAGCTCACTATGGATGCTGCCGCTCCTGGGGAGGTGGTCCTGGGTTGTGTAAGGAAGCAGGCTGTGCAAGCCATGGGGAGTCAGCCAGTAACAGCATTTCCCTATGGCCTCTGCTTCAGTTGCTGCCTCAAGGCTCCTGTTTGAGTTTCTTGTCTGACTTCCCTCAGTGAGGGAGCATGACCTGAGAGTTGTAAGAAGAAATAAACCCTTTCTTCCTTAAGATGCTTTTGGTCATGTGTTTTTATCACAATAATAGAAAGCTTATCTATGATAGAGGGCAAATAATACCTAAGTTATTTGGACTTTTTTTTTAAAGAGACAGACTCTTACTCTGTAGCCCAGGCTGGCCTCAAGCTCAGAGCAATCTTCCTCTCTCAGTCTCCCAATACTAGAATTATAGGTGGGAGCCACCTGTCCAGCTTGGAATTCTTAAATATTCAAAGTGTTTATTATTATTATACTGTTGTTTGAACTTTTATTTCAAATTTTGAAAAATAATAAATTAATATTATAATCAAACACCATTTTGAGCTCACCTATTTGTGTTTTCTCTTAGTCATATTCTTTCTACATTATTTGAAAATGTGTTGAAGAAAGTATAACCTTTTGTTCCTAGAATGTCAACATTAACCCTGACTCTTAGAAAAGGTATTATCATAAAACCTAAAACTGAAAAGCAAGTTGACTACTCTAAATTAAGATTCACTGAAGTTTAAAGTCTTGTTTTACCTGTGAGTTAAGTTACACAAAATATGAGATGTGATAGGATAATTATGGTTCTTTTAGCCATGCTATTTTTCATACTGTGTGTGTGTGTGTGTGTGTGTGTGTGTGTGTGTGTAAGTCAGAAGAGGGAACAGGTGGTTGGGAGCTGCTGGCATCAGTGCTGGGAACTGAACGTGGGTCCTTTGAATGAGCAAGTGCTTTTATCCATTGACACTTCTCTACTTCTAAACACATTGAAAGGCTCTTCACAGCACACAACTTACTTCAAGCATTTGGAAGGTAGAGGTTGGCAGATCTCTGTGGATTCAAGGTCTGTCTAGTCCACATATTGAATTCTAGACCAGCTAAGGAAGGCGGTATAGTGAGTTACTGTTTAAAAAAGTAAATAAAATTTAAAAAAAGTCAACTTTTTTTTGAGACAGGGTTTCTCTATGTAGCTTTGTATATGAGCCTGCCGTTTCCCTCACGAGTGCTGGTATTAAAGGAATGTACCACCACTGCCTGGCAACTTCGTTTTATTTTTTATTGTGTGTCTGTCTTTGTATGGGGTTTTTGTATGTGAGCTCAGGTACCCTTAGAGGTCAGAAACAGGCATTGGTTCTTCTGGAGCAAATGGTGTCAAAACGTAGCTTTGTAAACATACAGCTGATCACTGTGACACCACAGGGAACACTGTGTGGTCACACTATGAGCAGACCATGAGGCACAGAGATGACATTGGGACCCTGTGGTGGCACAGTGTGGCATTGATATGGCACAAGCAAACATTATGACATTACAATCCAGGTGACACGTAATATGTGTGCTGCTGAACATTATCACATAAAATAAGTGGTTTTTAAAAGCTTCATTTTTTTTAAAATTATGTGTCTGTGTGTAGGTATTGGGAACTGAACTTGGGTTCTCTGGAAGGGAAGCCAGAGCTTATAACTGCTGAGCCATCTTCCAGCATGAGTGAGTTACCTGTGGAAACAGAAGAGGGTGCTGAATCCCCTAGAGCTACGGCAACAGGCGGTAGTGAGCCATCTCTCATGGGTGGCAGGAATGTAATGGGTCCTTTGCAAGAGCAGTTTATATTATTAGTTTCTGATGCATCTTTCTAGTTCCCACACTTTAAAAAACGAAATTTATTTAAAATTTATCACATATGCAAACACATTAGCACCTGTGTGCCTGCTAGAGTGCGCTTATCAAGGCTCATTTGAAATTCTTTTACAGAAAATTTTTTATTTTATGTGTATGTGTGTTTTGAATGCATGCATGGCTGTGCACAGTGTTTATGCAGTACCTGAGGAGACAAGGAGGGTGTGTTGGATTTCCAGGAACAGACTGACCATGAGTTGCCATATGGGTACTGAGAATTGAACTTCAGTCCTCTGCAGAAACAAGTACTCTTAACTGCAGAGCCATCTCCCTAGCTAGCCACCCCCACTTGGACTCTTTCTCACATCTTCATACCATAAAGAAGAACACAAGCCAGACTAGCAGCTTGCATCTTACTGGGCTCCAAGCTACAGAAATGGAAAACACCCCTTCTCAATTAGGTAACATAATTGAAAGGAGCTGTCATGTTCTCTCGTCTTTAGCCATTGGATACCCTCTCAGGTTGCCTCTGTCATCTGCTCTGGTGAATGCCAGCTCTTCCAGCTGAGACCTAAAGAGTACTTCCCAATTCTGACACTGACAGGAGGTTACACCTTCCCACTGTGGCTGGAGGGTGAGTCAAAGCTCTACATTGGTTGGGTTGGGTGTTCTTCCAGAATCAGCCCGTGGTTATTATTGCAATTGTCATTTTCGTTGGGGATCAACACTGTTTTATGAAAGGGCTTACAAATGCTTCCAGAATTGGGAGTGTTGAGGGTACAGTCCAGTGGAAGAAGCAAGGCAGCATCTGCAAGACCCTATGCTCCTTCTCCGTCACTGGGAGGAAAGGCGTTTTCCAGGGATGGAAAGAATGCCAAGGACTGATTCTGAGAGTGGGGAAAGGCTTCTGCAGCCCTTGGGGCTATGGCTGGCAACACCACCTAGAAAAACCCTCCAAAGTGTTAGAACACCAGGTTTGAGAACCCAGCTCATTTTGCGCTTAGCTGAAGGACTCTGCACACCTTCCTCCTTCACACGTGGTTCCTCCTCATTATGTGTTTCCTCCTTTGTGCTTGCATTCCTCCTTTGTGTGAGGAGGAGGACCCGTCATACCCAGGCCCAACAGCAGGGAGCTTAGGGTTAGGCACAATGAGGAAGAAGTCACCTCCTCCCTGCCTCTCCTTATTTTCCATCTCCCTCCACTTTCCTCCCTCTGTTGAGAATTAGCTCTTCAGGGGATTGAACTGCTGTGATGTGCTCCAGGGCGGGGCACTCTGAGGCTGTGGGGATCCATCTGCAGGTAAAAGCTCCACAGCTCTTTGTTGTCCTCAGTTCTGGGTTCCTGTCTCCTGCCCTTGCCTATTCCCACTCACATTTGCTTCCAGGTGGACCCACTGTCCTCCTCAGAAACCTCCTCAGCATATTCCCCAGCATCCTCCTCAGCATTTTCCTCAGTACCCTCTGCATCCACCTCTGTATCTTCCTCAGCATCCTCAGGAAACTCCTCAGATTCTTCCCCAGCATCTTCCTCAGTATCCCCAGGAAACCCCTCAGATTCTTCCTCAACATCCTCCTCAGGAAACTCCTCAGATTCTTCCTCAACATCCCCCTCAGGAAACCCCTCAGATTCTTCCTCAACATCCTCCTCAGGAAACTCCTCAGCATCTTCCTCAGCATCCTCCTCAGGAAACCCCTCAGATTCTTCCTCAACATCCCCCTCAGGAAACCCCTCAGATTCTTCCTCAACATCCTCCTCAGGAAACTCCTCAGCATCTTCCTCAGCACCATCTTCAACATCTTCCTTGCATCCTCCTCAGCATCCTCCCCAGCAAGCAGGACTGCTCTAATGGACAAGTCTTCATCCTTACTGCTGAAGTTTTTGTTTCTGTCTGGCTGTCGCTATCTGGCTCCCTTTTTCCTAATCTGGCTTAGGGGAAATGGGAGGTGACAATGGTACAGAATTAGCCGAGTTCATTTTATTGGGATTCTCGGGTTTTGTTTTTGTTCAGGGCCATCTGTTTTGGGGTGTGCTGTGCATGTATGTGGTTACCTTGCTGGGCAACTCTCTGATCATCCTCCTGACGCTGGCCGACTCAGCCCTCCACTCCCCCATGTACTTCTTCCTGCGTCACTTCTCCCTGGTGGAGATCCTCTACACCACTACCATCGTGCCCAGGATGTTGGCCGACCTCCATTCTTCCTGCCCCACCATCTCCCGTGCCAGCTGCTTCACTCAGCTCTATTTCTTTGCCCTTTTTGGCATTGCCGAATGCTGTCTGCTCACTGCCATGGCTTATGACCGATATGCTGCCATCTGCTGTCCACTGCATTATACCACCCTGATGAACCAGAGAACATGTGCTGGCATGGTGGGAGCCTCTTATCTTGCGGGCATCATCTCTGGCACCACTCACTCCGTCTTCATCTTCACTTTGCCTTTCCGTGGTGCCAACATGATCCATCACTTCCTATGTGACATCCTGCCTGTGCTGAGCCTGGCTAGTGCAAGCACTTTGTGGGGGGAAGTGGGGAATCTGTTCGTCACAACAGCTTTTATCTTCATGCCCTTCTTGTTGATTGTGGCCTCTTATGCCTGTATTCTTGCTGCTATCCTTGGTGTTGCAACATCCCAGGGACGTCAAAAGATCTTTTCCACCTGCTCCTCCCACTTGTTTGTGGTCATACTCTTTTTTGGGACTGGAACTGCTGCTTATATGAGGCCTCAGTCAGATTCTTTTGGGGACACCGACCAGATTCTTTCCATCTTCTACACAGTAGTCACCCCCATGTTCAACCCTTTTGTTTACACTCTGAGGAATAAGGAGGTCACGGGTGCCATGAGGCGGCTCATGAAGAGATACCTTTGTGGTTCTTGACCTTGCATCACCTTCCTCTCAAGATCTTGGAACTAATGGCCTGATCCCTGGACACTGTCAAGGAAGAAAGAGAAGCTGAGAGTGGTAGTCTACAGTGTGAAGTCTGTTGTACGTTGTGTGTTTCACCCAGTGTGGACATCCAATACACAGGTGTGTTGTTCAGAGCTCTGCTTCCAGGACCTGGTCTGAAGACCTTGACTGGGCTTCACTGTAAGAGCAGAACTGAACAAACACACACTGGGACAGAGGTCAAGGGGAAGGTTCCCGCGCCACCTTTGTGTGATGATGTAATTCCAATGTCTTCCTGGAGATATGCTCATGAGATGTCCATCTTCCTGCTGCTCCCAGTGAGTCCTTGTAAGCCTATCTCCCTGTCATCATTCACATATTCAGTGAAGGAACAGGGACAGGGACAGGGAGTGGTTGATTTGGCCTGCAAGCTCAGCTGCTTAGTGTTGTTGTAGGCTTGGTCTATATTTCAGTTGCTTGTCTCCTGACTGATCCCCATCTCCTCGGACTCTCCCAAGATGTTGGTGTTCTCTGCTTAACTTCTAACCCACCTGTCTTTATAGAATGCTTTTCATTCTCCCTTTTGGTCTTAGGTGCAGGATATATTCTGCCTCCCTGATTCTGGTCTGAAGTTTGAAGTGGCCTTCCGTTCTTGGAATGCCACTTGTTTCATTATTTTTACTTTGTGTCCACTTTGGTTTTGTTTGCAGGAGTTTAGCACTTGTCTCTTTTCCTGGAAAGCTACTTCTTGATTGTTCATGAATCCTCCTTCAGCTCTTAGTCTCCGGTCAGAGAAGCAGTGGCAGAGGAAGTGTGCCCAAGGTGCAAATGAAGGGTTGTTACAGCTTGAATTTCTTTCCCAGTTTGCAAAAAGTAACTCTGTCAGTGTAAGAAATTTGCGTATAGAAGAAAATGTATTTATCAACAAATGTTAATAGTGTCTTTGCACTTGTGTACATGCATGTTCATAAAAATTAAAAATAAGGTTATATTGTCTAAACTGTGTTTTAACAGTCTCCACTTCATTGCAGACGTTTGAACAGTGTGCCGTTACTCCTAGAGAGTAACTGCAATGTCTCTGTTGTATTCTACAGTATGAGTATTTTATAATCATAAGTAATGTCCTGTTATTGCAGTTAACTTTTGTTATGAGCATTGAGATGAATGTACTCACACTTATCTTTATTTTACCTATATTTTTCTAGTATAATTCCCTGAAACAGTATTGCTGAGTAACAATGCTTTTCAAGTGCTTTGCCAAATTACCCTCCCCAAGAATTTTTAATTGTATTCTACAGCCCAATTGAGTGCCTCTCCCTACAAATTTCAGGTCAGAGATGTTGCCTAAGGGTCAAGAAGGAGTTGAGGTTAGACGACCCAGGGTTAGGAAGGGTGAAGAAAGTATTGATATTTAGAAAATGTCTTGAGATGGAAAGAGTAAGATAAGTGTGAGTCATTTTTTCTTAGATGACCAACGATGGGGTGAACATGTGCATTGAACACACACCCAGATGCATCAAAATGTAACCAAGAGAACTACTTCCAGACAGAGTCAGTGTCTGAACAGTAAGAATGCAAGTGTAAGGTGAGGTTTTCGCATGTTGGAGGTGGTGAGTCCCCGGACTTCCTGAGGGCTCGCTTTCCTCTCTGTGGTGATTGTCGGCTTTGGTCTGCTTCTTCATAGACACACTTCTGTCATCTGCGATTCAAGAATCTAAGCTGACCACACAGCGATTCATGCATGCCCTTTCTAGACTTTCTAGCGTCTATTATTCTGAAATAGTTGACACTAAGAAGGTATAATTGTACATGAAATACCTTTCATCATTAGTATAAGAATTTTCAATATTACCAGTCTTTGATGTTGTTTTCAGACTAGGTCCACTCTGCATACTTGGCTGGCTTGGAACTTGCTATGAGATCAGGCTGGTTGGGAACTCACAGGGATTCACCTGCCTCTGCCTCTCAAGTGCTGGGAGTAAGATGTGCCTTATATGTCTTGACAGTTAGCTATTTTTCAGGCATCATACCTACAGTAACTATTATTTTCATAGATGCTAGCATTTTTGGGAACTATTACATAAATCAGTATTTAAACACTTCTCTAGTGGCATATACCTTATTTTTGTTATAATTTTGTAGTAAAAATGTAATGATTTTTCTATGTGGATAGTTTTCCAAGTTACCCCCAAATTCACTTATTTTTAAAAACCAGGATTTACAATCCAGATGTTATCCATAGTGTTAGGAAGACTGGAGGCCCTGTCTTCAGCTGCTTCTCCCAGGAAGCGTTTGAGGAACACCTCACTCATCAACCATCAGCCCTGAACACATAATTGCTCACATTCTGTGTTTCTGCGGGTTTGTTTCCTCTTCTCTCCAGTCCTCCTCCCCACCCTGCACTGAATCCCAAGAGCACAGGGACCTGACCAGTTCCTTTCTGACACTAGAAGCTTAAGCAATCCCACCCTCTGACCCTGTGGTGAAGACAGGTGTGATGCCCTGTAGTTGGGCATCGTAGTGTAGTGGACACTCACTGAGTCCACTTTGCTTTCCCCACACAGGTCTTGCTATGTGGCTGTGGGACTCATGGTGGTCTTGAACTTGTGTCAATCCTCCTGCCTGAGCATCACAAGTGCTAGAATTATAGGAATGGAGTATTTTGTAGGTGGTATTTCTGTTTCTTACTTCCAGTTTTATGTATTTGTCCCACTAGATCCACAAACATTAATGTTACCATGTTGTGACACACAATGATCAAAATTTTTGGTCTTCATTTCATTCAATATCTTGACAATAACTGAGAAAATGACTACATGAAATTTGGCCTCTATGCAAATATGGGGAGCATTTACTTAAGTAGGGGTTGATTGGGGAGGGTCCACCTTGCTATGGATGCTGCCGCACCTGGGGAGGTGGTCCTGGGTTGTGTAAGGAAGCAGGCTGAGCAGGCCATGGGTTGTCAGCCAGTAACAGCATTTCCCTATGGCCTCTGCTTCAGTTGCTGCCTCAAGGCTCCTGTTTGAGTTCCTGCTCTGTCTTCCCTCAGTGACCTGAGAGTTGTAAGAAGAAATAAACCCTTTCTTCCTAAGTTGCTTTGGTCATGTTTTATCACAATAATAGAAAGCCTATTAAGACAGAGGGCAAAGGACTAGTTCAGTCTCCCAGTACTAGAACTATAGGTGTGAGCAACAATGTTCAGGTAACAATTCTTAAATATTCAAAAGTGTTTAATATTATATTTTTGTCAAAATGTTTATTTCAAATTTGGAAAAATATTAAAGTTGTACCACAAACATTTAAACACTATTTTGATTTCACCAACTTGTGTTTTCTCTCTTTTTTATATTCTCTCTTGTAATTTGAAAATGCGCTAAACACAGTGTAACCTTTTGTTCCTAGAATGTCAACATTAACCAAGACTCTTAGAAAAAGTATTATAAAAACTAAACTGAAAAGCAAGGTGACTACTCCAAATTAAGACTCACTGAAGTTTTAAGGTCCAGTTTTTTTGTGAGTTAACTTATGCAAAATATTAGGTGTGATAGAAAAATTATGGTTGACCACTCTCTCTGTCTCTCTCTCTCTCTCTCACTCTGTGTGTGTGTGTGTGTGTGTGTGTGTGTGTGTGTGTGTGTGTAAGCCAGAAAAGGGCACTAGTCCCCTGGAGCTGACACAACAGGTGGTTGGGAGCTGCTGGCATCGGTGCTGGGAACTGAACTTGGGTCCTTTGAATGAGCAAGTGCTTTTACCCACTAAGACATCTCTCAAATTCTAAAAATATTGTAAGACTCTTTACAGCACACAACTTACTCCAAGCATTTGGAAGGTAGAGGTAGGCAGATATCTGTGAATTCAAGGCCTGTCTAGTCCACATATTGAATTCTAGGCCAGCTAGTATGGCATAATGAGATACTGTTAAAAATAATGTTTAAAAAGTCGTTCTTTCTTTTCATTTTTAATCATGTGTCTGTGTTTGTGTGAGGTGTTTGTATGTGAGCTCAGGTACTTTGGAGGCCAGAAACTGGCATCGATTCTGTTGACACTAAGGATGTCTAAATGTAGCTTTGTAAACATAAAGCCCATCGCTGTGATGCTGCGGGGAGCATTGCGCGGTCACACTATGAGCAGACCATGAGGCACAGAGATGACCTTGGGACCCTGTGGTGTCACAATGCGGCATTGGGGTGGAAAGAATGCTAAGGACCGATTCTGAGGGTGGGAAAGGCTTCTGCAGCCCTTGGGGCTATGGCTGGCAACACCATCCAGAGGAACCCTCCAAAGAGTCAGAGCACCGGGTTTGAGAACCCAGGTCTCTTCGTGCTCAGCTGAAGGACTCTGCACACCTTCCTCCTTCACACGTGGTTCCTCCTCATCATGTGTTTCCTCTTTGTGCTTGCATTCCTCCTTTGTGTGAGGAGGAGGACCCCCATACCCAGGCCCAACAGCAGGGAGCTTAGGGTTAGGCACAATGAGGAAGAAGTCACCTCCTCCCTGCCTCTCCTTATTTTCCATCTCCCTCCACTTTCCTCCCTCTGTTGAGAATTAGCTCTTCAGGGGATTGAACTGCTGTGATGTGCTCCAGGGCGGGGCACTCTGAGGCTGTGGGGATCCATCTGCAGGTAAAAGCTCCACAGCTCTTTGTTGTCCTCAGTTCTGGGTTCCTGTCTCCTGCCCTTGCATATTCCCACTCACATTTGCTTCCAGGTGGACCCACTGTCCTCCTCAGAAACCTCCTCAGCATATTCCCCAGCATCCTCCTCAGCATTTTCCTCAGTACCCTCTGCATCCACCTCTGTATCTTCCTCAGCATCCTCCTCAGGAAACCCCTCAGATTCTTCCTCAACATCCTCCTCAGGAAACTCCTCAGATTCTTCCTCAACATCCCCCTCAGGAAACCCCTCAGATTCTTCCTCAACATCCTCCTCAGGAAACTCCTCAGCATCTTCCTCAGCACCATCTTCAACATCTTCCTTGCATCCTCCTCAGCATCCTCCACAG